TGGCAGCGGTTTGTTTGAGGTGGACGTTCTTGGGGTGGTTTTGGGGTAAATGCAGCCCTTTCTGTTGGAGTATGTCTGTAGGGAGGTGTGCAATTACTGGATCATTGGGTCGGCATACAGTTAGCTTTAGTAGATGCAGCCAAACATTTTATTAAGTGGCTATACCAGTTTGCATTCCCATCGGCAGTGTATGTGAGGTTCCCATTCAGAGAACTTAATTTTTTATTATTATTTTTTCAGAGAACTTTAACAGCTAGTTCCGTCAGGGAGCCTGTATGAAGAAGGGCTCTGCTGAGCCCCCAGTGCCTCACAGCCGTGCTTCTTAACTATTTGGTAGTCCACATTATTTCCTTTGTTCACCAGTAATATGTATTGACTCAGGTGCATCTTTTTTCTTAAATGTGGGACATTTAAAAAAATTCAAAAAGTTAGTACATTTGCAAAGTGCAAAACTCAGAAAGGTATATAAGGATATTTATTCAGTAGAGTGTCTTGGTCCCACCCATTGCCATCTACCTGGTTCTCTCTGCTGTTAGCAGCTTCCTATTATTTTACCTCCTTACAAGAAAGGCCAAAGAGTACACAGTGCTCTTTGCTTTTTTTTCAACTTAACAAAGCTTCTTGAATATCGTTCTTTTTCCCCTTCTTAGTCATCAGAAGGAAAAGGGTTCAAAGAAGCTTTCTTCAAAGCAACCTGAATATCTTTCTATCCTAGTAGAGAGCTTCCTCCTCCTTTAAAATTTTTATTTTATTTTAAAAGAACTGCCTAGTCCTGCCTCTCGTACAGGGCCCACATCCATTGAGCCGGTCTCTTACTGATGGGCTTTGGGGGTGGTCTGTTTGCAGTCTGACGAGGAAGGTGGCCAGGAGAAAGGAGGTGAAGACGGGCAGCAGAAGTTCATCGCTCATGTCCCAGTGCCATCGCAGCAAGAGGTAAGATGGGGACGGTGACCTGCCCTTTGAGGTTGTGTCCCACGTGCCGGGGAGGGTTCTTCACAAAGTAGATCCCACGAAGTGCTTGTGTGGACTTTCTTCACCTCGCTCATTGGTTCAGGCAGCTCTGTGTCTGCACACGACGCTTGTCCTGTGGAGTCCAGGGAAGCCAGCACCTCTGCTCTCGATGGAACCCATCGGGTGTCCCTGGTGCCGGGGTGTGCAGCAGGAGGAGGATTGGAGGGGGCCTGCGGGATGGATACCCCTGATGGACTCCCTTCTGACAGAGCTTGGGGACTTCGCTGAGGGGTACAACCTTAGCCCCTTCTCTTGATGCCCACAGATTGAGGAAGCGCTTGTACGAAGGAAGAAGATGGAACTCCTTCAGAAGTATGCAAGCGAGACCCTGCAGGCTCAAAGTGAAGAAGCCAAACGGCTCCTGGGATATTAGGGCTCAGCAGTGTTGGGCTCTGGGCCTTTCCTAATCTGCCTTGGGCTCCATGTGCTGACCTGTGAGACCTCTGCCCTCGTTGTCGTTTGGAGACTGCAGGCAGGCAGGCAGCCAGGTGGTTTTACCTCTGACTCTATCCTTGCCTCATGTGCTAACAGGCAGGTGGCATCTGTCCTTTGCCTTCTTGTAGCCACCACCACACATATTGTGAATCCATATATTTTGACTCTATAGTGTGTATGACAGATTGCTAACTAGCTGCCTGTGTTTTAATTAGCCATGTTCTGTGATTTGGGCAGGGAGAACCGGTTTGTGGCTAGCATTTGAGAGTGCAGTTTTCTTTCAGAGGACCTGTGTAACTTCTCATCGACTGGAGAAGCCGTCCCAGCCCTGCTGCCATAGCTCACTTGTCCGTAGTCAGCCTGAGTCGCCTCCTTGGACGCAGTGTGCTCCCAGCCTTTCATGGCCCAGTCTTGCTCATTCGTACCAGGGAGGTGGACTTTGAGTGCATTACTTCTGTTTTATAAATCGTGTAAGAGCTATTTTCATTAAAGAATTTTGTATGACAGGAAGCCTCTTGTTTGCAGCTTGATATCTGTGTTAACCACTGAAGCAGTGGTTGCATGAGACTGAGGTTCAGAGCTCCCAAATGACCAGCTTTCCTGCTGTCCAGAACACAGCCCCAGTGTATGAGGAGGTGTTGGGGTGCTGGGATCAAACCCCAGACTTCATCTCTGAGCTGAGGTGGGGGCAGACCCCATCTTCTCCACAGCCCCCTCTGTGCTAACCACTGAAAACAGGTCAGCAACCACCTCTCACAGGTCAGGGGACTTACGTGGAGGTGTGGTAGCCTCACTTCACAGCTGAGTTTTTCCCCAGGAAGACTGGAGAGCAGAGGTTGCAGCAGGTGACATTGCTGGCTGGGCATCCACACTTGGTGGGTCAGACCAGTGGCTTTCCTTTGGGACAAGATTCCACTCTGGCTGTGTGAACAGCACTTCCGGCATCACACCAGTTCTCCAGCCGCGCAGTATAGTCAGAATGGTTGTGTGGAGAGGGGCTCAGGGGGTCATGTCTCTTTAAGGAGGTCCAAGGCAGCAGGGAGTCCTGGAGAGGGTCTAAGGAAGTGAACAGTGAGCTAGTGGATGTGGGGTTTGCTCTGGAGACCAGAGGCCGAACCAGGCCAGGAGGGACAGCATGGACCAGGAGGGAGGTGGGAGATTTCAGAGCTGAGGGAACCTGATTCTTGTGAGGCTGAGGGTTCTAGAGAGGGTCCAGTGGGGAGGACCCTCCCAGCAAGCACCTGAGGGTGTGCAGGGAGGAGGGAAGGCTCGAGGCTGGAGGCAGGGCAGGTCAGATCACCTCTGGAACCCAGGGCCTGAGACCCTGCCCAGGGCTTGGCTTTGTGGGCAACTCAGGAACAAGTCTTTGCTGAGACTCAGCTTCTGTCGCCTATTTCTAAAAGCCAGGACCGGGCCTATTGTCTTTAGTTGGCCCTGGGGTATGGCGGTGTCATGGTGTGATCAGAGGTATCAGACAGGGGCTATGGTGACAACCTGTTCCAGTCTGACCAGCTGGAGGCATGCGGAGCATCTGGGCTTAGGCCCTGTGACAGATTCTCCTTCCAAGGGCCCATGTGCCGTGAGACCACCCAGCATTTAGATAGAAGTAGAGGTCAAGTAACAGGTCTACCTTCCTCCCCAAGGAAGATGGTCGGCAAACCCCTGGCCCTGTGGTTCCTCGCTGTGGGGCTGTGGGCCTTCCTCAGTGCAGTCGGTGGATTCGATAGGCTCCAGGGATAGCCAGACACAGGAACTCCCTGGGCCAGCCTTCAGGTCTCAGAATACCACCCTCTAGTCCCCCACCCCCGCCCATCTCTCCTAATGCTTCTCACGGTGCTATCCAGAGGGCATGTCATTCTCTGAGGACATCTGAGGATACTGGGCTTAGGGTGGAGAAGACACTGGAGGTCATGCAGGGACGTGGCTCTCTCTCTTCCTGCCTCCCAAAAAACTCAAAACCAAACTCACTGGTATCCAAGTAGTGCTGACTCATAGTGGGTTTCCGAGACCGTAACTGTTTGTAGGAATAGACAGCCCAGTCTTTCTTCTGCAGAGAAGCTGGTGGTTTTGAACTGCCAACCATACCTCAGCCTAATGCTTAACCATTACACCACCAGGGCTCCCCCTGCTTTCACACACTGTGTACTCATCTACCCAAGGTCCCCAGAACCAGTCCCTGGAGTCCTTTGGCCAACAGACTATTGAACAATTTAGATTAGTTCAAGTTCTGCCAGCTGTTTTGGAATGGAGCTGTTTCCTTGGATACATGTCCATATCCTCCCCTCCCCCCACCCCAACCTACTCTAGGGATTGTAAAACACCAATGTGTTTTGTCCTGTTATTTTGCCTTTAGACTCATCACCACTTTATGGGAGGCCTGGTGCTCCTCCCCCTGTACCGCAGCCCCTTGAACCCTGCCCTATGACCTCACCTGGTCCTGTTTTGGGGCAATTTATAAACTATGAAGGGGTGGGCTCCTATTGGGAAGGAGAGGAGCAGGCTTGTTCTGTGCCACTTCCCATCCCCTCAGTACCTGTCCCCGGAACTACTGGGGCTCTTAGGTAGGTCTCAGGGAAGAGGAACCGCAACACCTCCCTGCTTCCTCCCAGAGCCCCAAGAGAAAAGTGGAATATGGGAATTTTCCAAGGTTTTCCATTTAATCTTTCCTCCCTAGCACATTTTGCTAAACACCGACTGAAGCAGAAGCCAGAGATAGCCCTGAGGTCACCTCCGACCCTCAGCCAACCGCTCTAGCACCCCACCCTTTCAGGCATCTCCACCCACACCTCTCATGTCGTTCTCCGAAGTACTTCTAGAAAGCTGACCGTGGGGGTATTGGATTCCTGTGCAGGCCCTTGGCTGTTACAGCTGGGAAGTGGGAGTGAGGAAGGAGGGAGGGGTAGCCAGGCATTAATACAATTTGTTGAATAGAATTGGAGTAGTATGAAGAGGCTTCCTGAAGAGGTGAGTTTTTAGTATCATTGGAAAACCTTTTGGGAGATAGGTCCTATTTAATCTACAGACACTGTGGGACTCATTTTTCGGAGGATTCCTGATTCACTATAGTCTCTCGGGAACTGCCTGCCCATCACAGACTTCTGACATCCATAAGGGACAGTACCTTCAACCATTAGTCAGCAATCTTTTGGGAAAGGGATCCCCCAACTCTCCCTGCACTAGCCTTCCACCAAATAGGGCTCCCTTCTTCCCTTCTTTTGAGAATCCATAAACACATCCATCAGTTCTCTGCCCCACAAGGGTGTTGGCTTTCTCCCTACTTTGTCACCAGTTTTTGGTCTGTCTCTCTGGAACCCTCTTCACTGTGGGTAAATACTGGGAGTCTGCACTGTTAGCGTGTCCTGTGGGTGATATCAATGGTTACTCCCTGCGCCAATGATCCTGAGCTAGAGGGGGCCATCCCGGGCCTGAAAACTGGACCTGCAGACCCAGACACCCCCACCATCCCCTCAAACCCGGAGGGCAACAGGTGGCAGAGCCCAGGGAAGCTGGCCAGCTTTCCTGGGAGGCGGGGTGGGCCACTAGTTGGGATGGTGGTCTTTGGGTTACTGCAGAGGGAGGAACAAATGCTCCAGGGGGCGTGGCGAAGTGCCAAGGACCTCTCTGAGGGAGTGTGGGCAGGGATTGGGGCGGCGCGGTGGGCGGGGCATCTAGCTCGCGCGGGCTTAGGGGCGGAGCTAAGGGGGTGCTGACTCGGGGTCGGAGGTCGGCGAGTTAAGGCAGCATGGAGGGCAAGTCGGCCTGGGGGCGGGTTCGAGGGC